TCCTTTGTTCGAGGGAAGGATTGTTGGGTATGCGACCAAAGTCCCACATTGGTTAGAAATGGGGAGAATCAAGGGTATATAAGGATGGACAAATATCTTCATTGGTATGAGGCCTTTTGGGTATAATCTAAGAGCAAATTCATGAGGATTTAAACCTAAAATGAACAATATTATACCAATATGGAGATAGGTGATGTCCATAATCCTCACAGAAACTTGTTTGTGAAAATGAAATCTCAGAATTACTAGTTCCACCAGTTCCACCAGGAAGCCGACAGATTTAAGCACGTGACATTGCTAACTCTATCTTCTGCTTCCCTTGGTTGTCTCTCAGCTTCTGGGAGACCTTTCATGTGTGTTTCTGGTTTTACTTTTCTACTCACCAGCTGGGCGCTGAAATCTTCCATGTCTTCTCGAATAAGAGCTTTTTCTACTTCAATTTGACGAGGGTTTCTTTTCAATGGTTACGTTAAGAATGCTGGCCTTGCTGCTAAGATCTACGTGCTGCTCATAAAATAAGTGGAGGTCCGTTACAGTTGGACTGTGACAGCTGGAATTAGTGGTAATTACTAATTAGAGGTCATTCTTAAGCAGTTACAGGTGTAGGAGCTCGTGTGGAAGTCGTTAGGAATCAGTTAAGAGTTGGTTGACTCTTGGAATAAACATGTAATGCATGGGAAGGAAATATACAAGGTAGAGAAGTTTACGAAAGATAATAACAGAATCACTTCTTCCTATCTCTCTGTTCTTCCTCTTCTGTTCTCTCTATTCTTTCCTTTTTTGTTAAGCAAAGATTAACAATTGGTATCAGAGCTACGAATCTAGTGGCGGTGCGATTCATTGAGCAATGGTAGAGGGTAATAAATTCAAGGTAATGGATGAACACTGCAAAAAAGTTTGAAAATCAGCTGCAAAATCATCACCTAGAATGGCAGGAATCAATGGCAGACAATAAGGAGCGTTGGCTAGAGCAGGGTACCAAGATTGAACAGTTGGTCATGCAGATGGAATTACTGTCCAGTCAATTCCAACACTTTCTGGCCTCCCAAATAACGAGGAAAGAGACTGGAGCCTAGAATGCTTTGTTTCATAAGTGATTTTGTTTTATTTGAAACGGAATGAAATGATAAATTTACAGGGCTGATCATATATCATGCACAGACAGGCAAGGATAACTAACAACATACCCCAGAAAACGGGGTGGTCCTTGACCCGGGTGCGTGCTTGATGCATTGGCTGAAGCCACAGATGTATTGTAATTTGTGTTCTGGACTTTCACATCAAGGGTTAGTTCAGACATGGATAAAAATGGAGCAAAGAGCCAGATACATCGAATCAATGACTTGGCGAAAAAGTAAAACCTAGACCATTCCACGCAATGATTTTGTTTTCAGATACCTCATTTCTCACAGCAGTTTTGCCTCTTTCTTCCCTTACCTTGCTTGTATGGCCTTCTAATTAATCAAGCCAGGGAGCATAAATGGTTCCATGGAATCAATGCAAACAAATTTCTGCTACTTACTAAGTGAAATATCTGAAAACAATAAAAATATTTATCGTTGAAAATAGTGTGGTAATTCCATTGCCGAATACAAAGTTGTCATGAAATGAAGGAGAAGACAGCACAACAGACAACGGACCCGCAATTGAACCAAAATCACAGAAATTTTATAATCTGCTTTATCAAGTAGGCTTGTAATCCTGTAAGATGATAATTTATAGGCAAATAATTTATAAACGATAACCACTAAACTCTTAACCATTAGGCTTGTAATCAATAGGTAATTATTTCATTTATCCAAAAACACAAAAATATATCAATCCATGTTCTATTATCAGGGATTTCTTGTATATGGTTGTAATCAAATCAAGAATCACTCCATTGATATAAGTTCTTTAATCTTGAATTTTAAGTTATGTTTTGAATTCAAAACATTAAGTTATTTGATTACTTATTAAATTAATAATTGGTGTTTGCATATAAATCAAGTGCAAATTTTTTAACATGCATTAAAATGGATTGGAATCGCAAGTCTAAAATTGTAAAAATAGTCAAAGTTCAAATACAAAATTATTGTATTTTTATTTACATCAGACTTAGCATCCAGTTTTCAAATTCAAATTCAAATTCTTTTTAATAGAGACATGCACCAAAAAAATTTGAAACAACAAGACACATATCACACATGCATGGTTGAAGATGATGGAAAATAACTCAACCAATCATTCTTTCATTGAGAGATTAGACTTAAGACTATTTTATTACATTTCATTTGATTTTATTATTGGGTTTGATTTATCTTCATGTTAATACATTTTATTTAGTAAATTACTAGGTCAACTAATTTTTTTCTAACACAAAAGAATTAATGTATAGGTGTTATTAATATGTTTTTTGACATCAAATAAGAAATAAAATCATGAATAAAAAAATCGATACTTATATATAATAAATTGTAGTAAATATCATGTGTTAATAAAATGTAAAGAAATAAAAAAAAAAGTGTTCTACATATAATAGTTTTTTAAAAAAAAGAAAGTGTAAAGAAAAAAATTATAAAAGAATAAATATAAAAACAAAAAAATGGTACAAATGATAAACCAAGTATTGTGATAAATATTTAAAGTGTAAAAAACAAAAAAAAATAACATTTCTTTCTAAAAAAAGTATAAGGAAATTAAAAATAAAAAAAAATAAAGATAAAAAATAGTGATAAATAGACCAAATATAAAATGATAAAAATAATAAGTATAAAATATATATATATATATGTATAAGAAAAACTTGTTTTCTAAAAAAAACCCAAAAATTACAATTTTACCACAAAAAAAATTAACAAAATTTACAATTATTATATTTTTACATGAAAACACCATTTCTTTATAGTAATTGTAAATCAATGTTTGGGTAGAGTTGGATATTCATATGCATTGTGTTTTACATTACACAGTTTTGACGATGAATTATGAAAATCATTAATTGATTTCTCCTGCTCCTCTCTTCTTCTTCTCCCTCCTTTCTTCCTTTTTCTCCTTTTACTTCCAACTCTAGGAGCTGCACAGGGATCGAACCCATCGGTGGAGCAAGCATGTATCTCAAGCTTTTACGATGATGAACTTTCAGCAATTTGAGCTTTCTGAAATAGTTAAATACAAGCAAAATTAGATACCTAGTTACTTATTTCATGGTTTATAGAAATTGGAATGATTATCGGTACTTACCGTTTGAGTAGACAACTGTTGTATTGTGGTGTTGAGATTTTTCTTCTCTACTTTAGTCAAATTAACACTCCGCAGCTTGGGAGTGCTCAGTGCTCCGTTGGAGAAAAACTTCATCCCAGGACATTGTCTGACAGTTACTTCTACCAGAGATGGGAAATCAAAGCTGTGTTTTTCTGAGCAAAAGCTAGTTAGGCTTGGTAAACGATGAAGTTCTAATATTTCTAGTTTGCTGAAGACAATCTCATCTTTTATTCCGTCTCCCTCGTTTGCTACTATTTCGGTAACCATACCGCAGTCCTTTATACTCATTATTGTGAGTTGCGCCAGACTTTTTGCTGTTGTGGATGTCACTAATTTTACTAATCCTTTGCAATTCCGCACATCCAAATTTGTTAGATTTTGGAAAGAAGCACGGGATGGAGCTAAATAAATCAAACTGCGGCAATTCTGTACCACAAGAGTTCCAAGAGTCTGCAGAGCTTGGTCCAGTTGGGAATTGCTCTTCCATAAATGCTCTAGGCAAGGAAGAGAGTCCAACTCCAAGTGTCGTATCGATGAAAGAACTATTGCATGCTTCTCCACACCATCAAGTCTAGACGGGAGCAACTCTTTGAAGTCACTACATCCCACAATAAGATTTTCCATTTTAGGGAACCTTGGAAGGAGATCAATTGGAAAAGTTGCATGTGCATCATGAAAGCAAAACAGATTGAGAACTTTGAGTTTGTCATAGAAGTCTTGAGGACACAGGCTTCTCAATAATGCCGATGCATCCTTGCTTTCCAAATATAAATCCTCCAAGTTGGGGAAGATCTGAAAACCAATCAAAAGAAAGCATGCTTGACTTGACGTTTTCTTAACAACTTTATAGCTGTGCATAGAAAGATCAACTGAACACTTGACTAAATGAATTGTGCCACGTGAGCTCTAGCTTCAGTTTTGTAATGTTATGAATGCAAAAGCTTTGTCAATCTTTCAATAAGAATTCTCTTTCTGCGGAGGGGCAGTGGCTTTTAGATTGAACACATCATACAACATATGTATCCCTCAAAAGAAGTCATCATGCTTCATTAATTCACCAAACATTGGGATGTCAACCAAATTCACCTTGCTTGAATGGAAACATAATTAATCATAACTGTAAGATTCAAATGATTGGTCTAAACTCATATTCAAGTTAACCTAAATATGCAAAAAAAAAGTTATAAGAGAATTGTTTTTTTTTCTTCTAACTCTTCTTGTTGTCGTGATCATCCCTTCATCAAACTAAAAATTTTAGTTTTT